CAAAACTTTAAAAATTTTCTGCTTTTAAACTTTTTTTGTTCAAAAGTATCTCCAGAGTGTTTTCAATAGCTTCGCACTTCTTGTTATTATGCATTATCATCATTTCAGGTATCTAAGGCAAACGGGGCGCGATCAGCAGTATTGCGCACGTGTAGAAACCTATTTGAAAGCCAACAAAATGTTTGTTGAATATGGCGACTCTAAATTTAGGCCTGCATACACAAAAGTTTGTTTTTTCATAAGAATGAGTTTTCTTGATTAAGAACTTCTGATCATTTCGTTTGATAGGTGCTAACACTGGACATGAGTACGGTAGTGCCTTCCGTAGCTGGTCCCAAACGACCACAGGACCGTATCCCATTGTCTTTGCTACACCAAGATTTCGGCAGTAATCTTACAAATAAGCCTTCCTTTAAGGTGATGTTCACGTTTTCGAATTTTCACGGGCTTTTCTAGATTTCTATTTCTATTGCTTACAGCATGTGGTTATCCCAATTTTCTCTACAGGGTTTTGGTGTGAAAATTGAAGAAACGACCAGACACACAGAGATTAACAAAAACGGCAAAGTTGGAGATCTGACTCACGGTTCCGTAGTAATTGCTGCCATCACTTCATGCACAAATACCAGTAATCCAAGTGTCATGCTCGCTGCGGGACTTGTTGCTAAAAAGTTGAGTTTAGTTCCCTATAAAGTAGTTTGAAAAGGATCGTTTACAAAACTACCTATGTATAGCTTTTATAAAAAAGGTTTTTTTATTGCATCACCTTCTTTTTTTAAGTGAACTATAGTTGTACTATATTATAACTTTCCTCATCTCAAATGTTCATACAACTGATCTTTCATCATTTTAAAGGGAGTAAGCTAGTGCTACGTTTGAGATGCGATTTGAGAGATACCGACAATTCACAGTTTTTCTTAAGCGCTCTTCACATCGACTCAAACCAAATTATTTCTGCAATCAAACAACTTTCAGGCTGTCGAACTCGGCTTATCCACCCAACCATTTACAAAAACGTCACTTTCTCCGGGATCTAGGGTGGTGACGAAGTACCTCGAAGCATCTGGACTTCTTCCTTATCTACAGAAACTCGGTTTCCACATTGCTGGCTATGGATGCATGACTTGCATTGGAAATTCCGGTCCGCTCGACGACGAAGTTTCAAAAGCAATAGAAAAAGTATGCTTATGTGTATGAAATTTCAGCAACGCACCGCAACAAGCTAGAGACGCTTCATGGTGTGACTGACTAGTTGAACTAATACGCATCAATATTAGATTGTTTTAGGAAAATTTTGTTGTAGCCGGCGTGCTATCAGGCAATCGAAACTTCGAAGGTCGAATCCATCCTCTTGTGCGAGCAAACTATCTTGCTAGTCCTCCCCTTGCAGTAGCCTATTCAATCATCGGAAATGTCAATAAAGA